GGCAAAGGTAAGGGAAAGGGGAAGCATCGGACCAGCGGCATGGGCATGGGCAGGTCCGGCAACCCCATGCGTCCAGACGGGCAGCGCCTCAAGTGCCACGAGTTCGACTCGGAGGAGCACCTCGTGCGCGACTGCTCTCGGCGACGCCAGCATGGCGGCCGAGCCCTCTACCTGAACACCTACCTCCCTTCATCGTCCCCTACATCATCTACGTCACCATTGACCTCTCTTGGGCAGTCGGGCCCACCAGAGCCACCAGCGCAGATGCCCAGGACGAGTGCTCACCAGGTCAGGTTTTTGCCTTCATCTCTGCACTGTGGCCGGCTCTCGTCGCACGTTCATTCCCGTCAGCTTTCCTTGTTTTCCTACCAAAATAGCGCTTGGAAAAAATCGCCAGAACCATCATCATCATCATCATCCTCCTCCTCGTCCTCCTCATCATCATCAGCATCAGCATCAGCATCATCATCATATTCCTCTTCCGCGTTCTCCTCCTCCTCCTCCTCCTGCTCCTCTTCCTTCTCCCCCTCTCCCTTCCGTTTCCAGTTTTTCTTCTCCTTCTCCTGCTCCTCCTCCTCGTCCCCCTCCCCCTGCTCCTCCTCCTCTTCCTCCTCCTCCTCTTCATCATCCTCATCCCCGTCCTCGTTCCGTACTCGTGCTCGTACTCGTACTCCTTCTCCTCCTCCTCTTCCTCCTCCTCCTCCTCCTTTTCCTCCTCCTCCTCCTCCTCCTCCGCCTACCCCTCATACAATTCCTCCCCACCATCCAGAGAACGGCCAGGGTTTGGATGTGGCAGAATGGCGGCAGTTTGGAGGGCGCACAGGCGGCCGCAGCGTGCGACACCTCGTGTCCTGAGCCTGAGCCATGGGGGAGCCGTAACATGTCACACATTCTTCCAGGCCGTGTCGGGGATTCTCTTCTCGTCTTGGTTCTTCTACCCTTTTTTCCGTCATTTCTTGGGTTCCGTGGGGGTCCCATTGGGCCATGGTGAGCTGTCTTGGGGCCCTCCTGGACCGTCTTAGGGATTCCTTGGGACCTTTCCTGGGCCGTCTAAGCCAATCCTGGGCTGTCTTCAGGCCGCATTGGAGGATTGTTGGGCCATGTTGGGTTGGAGGCTTCTCAGGCTGGCTCGAGTCGTTGGAAGCTCGAAAGGGTGAGCACGGCCAAATATGTCGAAAACCAACGGGAAATCCTGAGGTCAGTTGTTCTCTTGTCCTGCTGGGGTTTCCCTTGTGGCCCTCTTGAGCCGTTTGGGGGGCCCCTTGGGTTGTCGTGGGGCCATCTTGGGCTGTCCCTTGGCTGCCTGCCCCGGCCGCCTTGGAAGCTCTGGAGCGCGGACCCGTTGCTTTTGTTACGAGGCATCCTGGCCTTGGGAACGCGGACCCAGGCCTCGGGAGCGCGGGCCAGCAGTCTTTCACGACGGATTTTGATTTCGGGAGCGCGGATAGATCTCCCCCCCCCTCTGAACGAGGGATCGTGGCCTCGCAGCGGGGAGTGGGGGATGGGGGGTGCACGCCCGTGAGCTTGGCGGAAACTAGGGGGAGGGGCCCGTAGAAGAATGCAGAAGCCCTGCCACGCAGTCTCTGGCATCCTGCCGCGCCTCGGCGTGCCATTGGGGCATGCTGGCGGATCCTGGTGATGGAGCTGGTGCGCGTTCTCGGCCGAGCTGGCGAGAAGATCCTGATCATCGTGCCGGGCGCCGAGGAGGTCGACCAGGCAGGGCCGCCCACGATTCGACTCGGTGCGATCCGATCCGCTGGCCGGGGCCGCGATGTCGATTCGATTCGACGCCATTCGGCATGATCCACTGGCAGCGGCCGGAGCCGGCCGGAGCCGGGCGCGGCGGTCCGATCTCGATTCGGGAGCCTCGAGACGGGGGTCAATGCAAATGGGGGTCAGCCAGAGCGCCCGATCTTGCAGGATCCTACAGGGCCAGGGTCGCATTGACCCGGGCTTGGGTGCAGGATCCTGCAGGATCATTCGCATTGACCCGGGTGTGGGTGCAGGATCTTGCAGGAGCTTGCAGGATCCTGCAGGCCTGACTGACCCGGGTCTGGATTGACCCGGGTCAGGAGATCCCCGATCGATTCGATTCGGGATTATCGGATTTCCGGCCCTATCCGATCGGCTGCGCGTAAGGTGCGCCCTTCGTCGGGCTGACCTTTGGTGCGCGGCCATCGGGGGGCCCCGCGCCGCGGCCGGCACGCCGCGCACCAGAAGCCACGCTTGCTCAAAGGGCACCCTTACAGTCGGGGCGCTGAAGGAGGAACCCTTTTCGTTGGGGAGGGGCTCCGTGTTCCTTAATTGTTTCGCAGCTTGCCTTGGATTGCCCTTAGGTTTTCGATGCGAAATCGAAGTTCAACTTATGGAAAATAGGGGCCTCGTTCCTCATTTAGGGTTCCTTAGATCAACGCCTCGGCTGTACGTTCACTCCAAGTTTCGAAATCAAAGGGAGGGGGCCACAACCCTCCCAGACGAGCAGTTGTAGGCCCCGCCCAGACCAGCCACGAGAGGGCGGCCTTCTGCCCAGACCCCACTGGAACCCTCCAGGACAGCTCACAGCAGAGCCCCTCCAGATCAGACCACCCCTGTTTTATCATGAAGCTCGGGGTAGCCGATCCGATCTCGATTCGATCGGGCTCAAGTCGGCCACGCGCAGAGGGGGGTATCGGGAGGGGGAAGTGCTTCTTAGAAGCACCCCTGCTTCTTAGAAGGCGCGGGCCTTCTCTGTAGATACAGGGCTGGCGCCTTCTAAGAAGCAGCCTCCTTCTAAGAAGCCTCCCCCCCTCCCCCTGCCCCTTCTGCGCGCCGCCTCTCAAGCCTGCCAGGTCCAGGAGGTGCTGCAGATCCTGGAGGCACCCGCCACGGAGCAGGCCGCGGCCGGCGTGCCGCAGGGACGCCGCGGCCCGTGCAAGTACAAGGTGGTGGCCTTGCAGGCCTCGAGCAGTGCCAAGGGGGGGGGGTCACCACTGCGGGGGGGCCAACAGCAGGGCTCGGCCCAAACGGTGTTTTTGCGATTCCGTGGGCTGTTTTGGTTTCGATTTGGCTTTCCGGCTTTGCAGCAAAGTCGGAAGGAAGACAACACGAGGGAAAACTACAGCAAATCGACAACGGAAAACAACCCGCTTAGGTCGAGCCCAGGTCAACAGTTCATCCCGGGAGATCGAAGATCCAGGATCGAGGCTCAAGCTTAGACGATGGAATCAACGCTGGGGGCCTATGTGTTGTGTTTTTCTTGTATGCTGCTGGCTTGTTTCATTCAAGAAATGGGCAGATTGCTGTATTTTTGTGTGGTCGTGTTTGTCTTCGGGGGTCATCTCTGTGTTGTTGTATGTTTTGTTGTGTTTGGTTGTGTGTGTGTGTGTTCGTGTTGATTGTTTTTCTGTTTGTTGTTTGATTACTTGATTATTTGTTAGTGTAAATATTGTTGTATTCAAGAGCGACGTTTCGCGTTCCGTTTCGGGGCCCATTTTTTCCGTTTTGGGGTTCTCGTTTGCGCCGTTTTCTGTTCGGTTTCAGTGGTTGTTGCCGTGTTTTTTTATGTGTTTATGGTATCCTTTTTTCTTCGCTTTGGTTGGCCGACAACCGAACATTTGAAGCCGCCTCAGAACGCCCCCAGTGTTTGGAACACCTGCTAGGGGCTCGAGGAGGTTTCGTGGCGCTTGGGATCGTTCTGGCAGGCTCGAGGAGTGTTCCCAGGGGCCCACCTCCTCGAGGAAGCGGCGCTTCCTCGAGGAAGTGGCCACCCCTCCCTTGTGGTGACCCCCTTGCGGCACTGCCCCAAGGCACGGGAGGACGGATCGCCCATCGGGGAAGAGGAGGAGGAGGCGTTCCAGGAACCGGAGGAGAAGAAACTGCGTGTCCATCTCAGAGGAGGGCGAGCTGAGACGACGGCAGTTGGCCTTCGGGGGGGCCCCTGGTCGCCAGGGCTAGAGGGCTAGACGCAGCTTGGAACGCTGGTTGCGTTTAGACCTCAGGAGTGGTTTGGGGACTGATTTTGAGCTGCTGTTGTCTCAACTCGCCCTGCTCCGACCATCGATCGCTGAAAGTAGGTACTTCTAGAATCCCATGCCCCACTGTACCCTAGGCTCCTTCCTGCTTCAGTGGGTCGAGCGGTCTGCCTTGCCTTTGTCGCTCCTTCAGGGGGGCGGGCGAAAGCCCAGTACATCTTCAACGCCTCCCTGCCTCATGTTCCTACCCACCTCTTCCGCCCGATGGGTACTCATACGCTTTCGGAGCTCCGGAGGCTTCTGTGACTCATGCCTCCCCCTCGTCTCAGGAGCCGCCGAGGGGCACGTGCCACGTGCTGCTGACCGCCGAGGCCGTCGAGGCGTCCGTTACCCTCCCGAGGGTGCGCGTCGTCATCGACCTGTGCCTGCGGCGCGGCGCGGTGCCAGACCGCACCCGCCGCGGCCTGGGGCTCGGGGCCACCCGCTGGGCCTCCCAGGCGACCTCGGCGCTCCGCAGCGCGCGGACTGGGCGGACGTGCCCAGGGGTCTGCATCCGCCTGGTACCCAGGCATGGACTGGGCGACTAGACGTGAGAGGGTGGCCCTTCGCAGGACGGTGGCCTCTGGTGCGGGCCTGGCGGGGTCCCCCGATCGCTGAGCCTGGAGCGGCAGCAGCGGCTTGCGCGCCAGGGCTTGGCCACCGCGCGACCCCGTCGAGTCGCGCACCAGAGGCCATTTTTGCCTTGGGCCACTCTTGCGTGTACAGTCGGGGCCCTGATGAAGGAACGCTTTTCGTTGGGGAGGGGCTCGGTGTTCCTTGATTGTTTCACAGTTTGCCTCGGGCTTCCCTCAGGCTTTCGTATGGGAAATCGAAGTTTAAATTTATGGAAAAGAGGGGCCTCGTTCCTTATTGAGGGTTCCTTAGGTCAACGCCCCGACTGTAGGGGTTCTTAGGGTTCCTTAGGTCCTTAGGGTCCTTATTTAGGGTTCCTTAGGGCACCTTTGCCTTGGGGCCACTCCTGCGTGTCGCCGAAGGCAGCTGCACGAGGTGATGCCCAGGTACGAGCCGCCGGAGGTCGAGCAGGCCCCGCTCGAGCGGCTGTGCCTGCGGCTCAGGCAGCCCGGGGCTCGACACACAAACGGCGTCTCGGCGCTCTGTCGCAGGCTGCTTTCGCTCTGATCTCGTTCTGCGGCAGGGGTGGGACGAAGACAAAAGCGGGGGACAGCGAAACCAAGACGACAGCGAAAAGCATCGGACATTTGCGAGAACGCCAACCCAGGCAAGTCGACCCGTGAAATCTGCACCGTCTCACTCGACCTTGGGTTTCGTGCCGGTGCAGTCCGCAGTCGGTTTCGTTAATCGACGTGCGTCTACCCGCTTGGGTCCCGTCGGAATGCGGTGCCGTGCGCACGTGAAGTGCCCCTGGCAGTTTTCGCTAAGGGGCGTCTTGCTAACGGGGGGGTACTGTCAACACTGATAATAAGGATGATCGACTTCCCAAGAGTACCCTTGTATCCTTGCCTCTTCGGTCCATCCTCAACCATTTTCGATGGCCAGCCCCGCTCGAAAAGTATCGGCATGGGCGTCCAAGGCCTTTGCATCCTTATCGCGCATCCTTACTATCAGTTTTGACGGTACCTGCCCAGCTCTGGGAGCATTGATTGGGTCGGGCCCCGAGGCAGTTGGCCCTGCGCCTCAAGGAGCAGGTGCCGCGCCTCGGGCAGATGCTCGGCCAGTCGCCCACCGCGGCGCAGCTGATGGAGGCGTTGGTGCAGCAGCCTACAGAGGAGCGGTAGCACAAATGGACACATGTGACAGATATGAGACCGGAAACTTGCTACCCAGTTTCGTGAGCGATGATGCTTGAGGCGCTGAGTTCCCCCAAACTGCTGGCATTCCCCCTTCCTGGCCCCTCGGTCTTCCCCTCTTGTCTGTCCTCTCTGCTTGTCCTTCCTGCCCTCATGCTGTTTGGGCCTCGTTGCTGTTTGTGCAAGGTCTCGGTGTCTCGGTGGTTGCCTTGCCACCACATCAGTGTTCTATGCACTGGTCGGCATTTGCGGCATGGGGCTTGCCTCGTGATGTGAAAGACCATTCGCACCACAGCAAAACAGAACAAACAACAACTCACGCAGCCAACGAAGGAGCGGCTGGAGGAGGCCCGGGCGTCGCTGGTCGAGTGCGGGGCGCTCAACAGCACGATCGACGAGCGCGCCTCGATGACGGTCCTGGGGCAGCTGGCGCTGGCGCTCCCGCTGGACCTCCGACTTTGCAGGCTGGTCCTCTTCGGCGCTCTGTTCGGATGCCTGGCGGACGCGGTGGTCATGGCAACGGCGCTGAGCCTGCAGGACCCGCTCGCGCGCCCTGTCGGCGGTCTCGCCTGCGACCGCAACAAGTAGCCGGCTGCGCTGCCGCGCACATCCGCGCTCGCGCCCGCTCGCAAATGCAGAGCCCACACGGTGTTTCTTCTTGGACCCCCCCGATGATGATGATGATGATGATGATGATGATGATGATGATGATGATGATGATGATGATGATGATGGTGATGATCATGATGATGCTGCTGCTGATGCTGATGATGATGATGATGACGATGACGATGACGATGACCATGGTGATGGTGATGGTGATGGTGATGGTGATGCTGCTGATGATGATGATGTTGATGGTGATGCAGATGCAGATGATAATGATGATGCTGATGATGATGACGATGCTGCTGCTGCTGATGCTGATACTGATGATGACGATGATGATGACTATGCTGATGCTGATGCTGTTGCTGATGCAACTAATGATGATGCTGCTGCTGTTGATGAAGACGGACGTTAATGGTGATGATGCTGAAGATGATGATGCTGATGATGACGGTGACGGTGATGGTGATGATGAGGACGAGGAATAGAATGAGGACGTGGATGATGATGATGATGATGATGATGATGATGATGATGATGATGATGGTGATGCTGCTTCTGATGACGATCAGGAGGAGGAGGAGGAGAAGCAGGAGAGGTGACGATGACGCTGATGATGACGATGATGCTGCTGATGATGACGATGATGCTGCTGCTGATTATGACGATGACGATGACGATGGCGATGACGACGCTGATGCCGATAACGATGCCGGTGATGCTGCTTTCGTTGTTGATGGTAATGAGGGTGCTGTTGTTGTTGATGATGATGATGACGATGATGCTGCTGATGATGATGACGATAATGATGCTGCTAATGATGATGATGACGATTGCCATGATGATGACGACGACGATGGCGACGACGATGTCCATTATGCTGCTGTTGTTGATGATGATGACGATGGTGATGATGCTGGTGATGGTGCTGATGCTGACGATGCTGATGATGAGCATGTTGATGATGATGCTGATGATGAGGATGAAGAAAATGATCATGATGCTGCTGATGATGATGGTGGTGATGACGGTGGTGCTGCTACTGATCATGATGACGATGATGCTGCTACTGATGATTATGGTGCTGCTGCTGATGATGCTGATGACGATGTTGATGATGCTGATGATTGTGATGCTGATGAGGATAATGATGATGGTGATGATGATGATGGTCATGATGATGACGGTGATGGTGATGAGTCTCGTGATGATGAGGATGATGATGATGATGATGCTGCTGTTGCTGTTGCTGCTGCTGACGATGATGATGATGATGATGATGATGATGATGATGATGATGATGATGATGAAGGTGGTTGTGGTGGTTCTGATGCTGTTGATGCTAATGATGATGCTGCTGAGGATGATGATGCTGCTGCTGATGATGATAATTATGATGACGATGTTGATGATGACGCTGGTCATGTTGATGCTGGTGGTCGTTGTAATGCTGCTGACGACAATGGGCGATGATGATGATGTCGATGATGGTGATGATGATGATGATGATGATGGTGATGCTGATGCTGATGTAGATGGTAATGATGATGATGATGATGCTGATGATGATGATGATGATGATGATGTGATGATGATGCTGGTGCTGCTGATGCTGATGCTCATGATGATATTATCGATGATGATGCTTATCTTGATGCTGATGCTGATGCTGATGCTGCTGATTCTGATGGTGCTGCTGCTTCTGACTATGATTATGACGACGACGTTGATGATGATGCTGGTGATGATGATGATTGTGATGGTGATGGTGATGATCAGGATGAGGATGAGGAGGAGGATGATGATGATGATGCCGTTGCTGATGCTGCTGATGCTGATGCTGATGCTGATGCTGGTACTGATCATCATGACGATGAGGAGGATGACGAGGAGAAGGGTGACGTTGAGACGTTGACGCTGATGGCGACGATGATACTGATGATGATGATGACGGTGACGACGCTGATGCCGAGAATGATGCCGGTGATGATTGCAATTGTTGATGATGGTGGGGATGTAGTTGATGATGATGGTTACGATGATGCTGATCATGATGATGGCGATAATGATGCTGCTAATGATGATGTTGATGGTGATTGCCATGATGATGACGACGATGGCGATGATGATGTCGATGGTGCTGTTGTTGTTGCTGGTGATGGTGACGATGCTGCTGATGCTGATGGTGATGATGCTGGTGATGGTGCTGATGCTGACGATGATGATCATGAGCATGATGACGATGCTGATGATGATGAAGATGATGATGAAGATGATGATGATGATGACGATGTCGATGATGATGATGATGATGATGATGATGAGGATGATGCTGATGATAATGGTGGTGGTGCTGCTGATGATGATGGTGATGATGCTGCTGAAGATGATGGTGCTGCTGATAAAGATGAAGATGATAATGACAACGTTGATGATGATGCTGTCAGTGATGTTGGTGATGAGGATGATGAGAATCATGATGATGTGGATGATGGTTGTGGTGATGAATGTGATGATGATGATGAGTCTGGTGATGATGATGCTGATGAGGATGATGCTGATGATGATGCTGCTGTTGCTGTTGCTGCTACTGCTGCTGATCATGATGATGCTGATGATGATGACGACGGTGTTGGTGGTGGTTGTGATGATGATGTTGCTGATGATTGTGATAAAGCTGATGATGCTGATGAGGATGATGAGGATGCTGCTGCTGCTGATGGTGACGGTGATGATGATGACGATGTTGATGATGATGGTGATGGTGGTGGTGGTTGTAGTGGCTGTGATGCTGCTGCTGCTGACGACGACGGTGACGATGATGATGATGCTGATGATGATGCTGATGATAATGATGACGATGATGATGACGATTATGCTGCTGCTGATGCTGATTATCATGATGTTGATGATGATGCTGTTGCTGATGATGATGATGATGATATTGATGCTGCTGCTGCTGATGATGATGATGCTGCTGCTGATGCTGATGATGATGATGATGATGATGATGATGATGATGATGCTGCTGATTATGATCGTGATAGTGATGGCCATGATGATGGTCATGGTGATGGTCATGGTGATGATCATGGTGGTGATGGTGAGGAGAAGGAGGAGGAAGCGGAGGAGGAGGAAGAGGAGGAGAGATGGGAGGATGGGGAGGTGGAGGAGGAGGAGGAGAAGGAGGAGATAGAGGATCTGGAGGAGGAGGAGGAGGAGGCTGAGGAGGAGGAGGAGAAGGAGGAGGAGGAAGAAGAGGAGGAGAAGGAGGAGGAGGAGGAGGAGGAAAAGGATATTTGCGACCAGCAGGAGTGGGGTTCACATGTGGCTGCCTGGCGACAGGCGGGAGGGCTGTGGGGTATGTGGCTGTGGGAGGGGGCCCGACGGGCGGCGCTCCACTGTGGACTTCGCATCTGGCCCCGTGCTTCTGTGGTGACCGAAAAATTGTACGATCGAAATGGGCACGGAAAGGACCCCACACATGCTCGCGTCGTGAAAAAATCAGGATGGGAGGGGTTGGGCTTTTTTTCGACCTTAGGGGGCCCTCGCTGGGCCCCAGGCCCGTCAAGAAACGACTCTGGATGAACAACCGGTCCTGGGGCAAGGGTCTGGACTTCTGGGGGCCCCATAATGGAAATATCAGGACGTCGCATGCCTGGAAATGTGTACGGGAAGGAGAGGTTCAATATCGTTTCAGTTATCACCATCCCACTGGGCCATGGCATCTCAGCCCCACCATCCCACCACCCCAGGTAGGGGCAGTCCCCTCGAAGCCCACTGGGTATGAAGGCCGACAGCTGTCCCTGTCCCGTTGGAACGGGGGTCGCTGTTGGTGTCGCCGCGGGCGCTGTCCGTGGAAGACAGCAAGCCTCCTGCCCAAGAGCGACCGCTGTCGACTTTGAAACACATCGGCTGTTGGGCACCGTGCCCCTCTTCTCCGTGCCCCTCGTCGAGCGTTCCGTGGCAAAGCCTCGGGCTTTGGCGCAGAACGTGGACGCGCGTCGGCGGCGGTGCGGCGGGGCGCCGGCTGCCGCTCCGCAGGCGGCAGCGCCCAGACACGTGCGGGGCCCGACGCTCACCAGCGGCGGCGCATATGGCGTGCCGGCGGATATCCAGGCCTGCCGGGCCTCCGCGCTGGCCAGGCGCCGCTTCGACGACGGCGCCCTGTGCGAGCCGGTGATGCTGCGGAACGTGTTCTCCGCCTGGCTGCGGGGGCTGCCCTCCCTGGAGGCCGGCGCGGAGGGGGCGCAGGCCCTGCGGCAGGCGCACCTGGAGCGGTCGCGCAGCTTCGCGGAGGAGCACGCCGGCGCTCCGGCACGCCCGGGCAGTCTTTCGGCTAGACGTAAGAGTGACCTTTCGCCGGAGTGACCTTTAAGTGCGGGCCCAAATGGGTCCCCCAATCGCCGAGCGCGCTGCGCTGGAAGCGGCTTGCGCGCTCGGGTTTGGCTCCCCCGCGCCCCCCGAATGCCGCGCACCAAGGGTCACTCTTACCCAGGGTCACTCTTGCGTATAGCCGAGTCTTGTCGGGGAAGCGTGGGGCTCGGGCTCGAGTGCGCCGGAGCTCGGATCTGCCGACGCGTTTTGGCGAGCTCGTCCTGGATGTTCGTGGGATGGCTGCAGCTGGAGCTCGCGCGAGACTTCAGACGGTCTAGTCATGTTCGTGGGGGCCCCGCCAGGCCAGCCCGAGCCCCCCGAAGCCGAGCCTTACGTCTCCCCAATATCTTGGTGCCGTCCCAGATCCCACACTCCCTCGGCCGCGGAGGGTTTCTCGCTTCTCCAGATTTCGTAATAAAAGGGAGGAGGTCTGGACCCTCCAAGACAAGCCATTTCAGACCTCCCCCGTGGGAGAACCCTCCAAAACATCGTCCCCAGACCCCCCAGGCCCTCCAAGATAGCCTGGAAGAGACCCCCCCCGAAATGAGACCCCCCTCCCTTTATTACGAAATCTGGAGTATTTGTGGCGTCCAGGGGCCCCAGCAAACGACTCAGGACGAAAGAGCTGGTCCCCCGGTAGGGGTCCAGGTCTCGGGGGGGTCCACGTGATGAAACACAGTCATGGCGACAGGGGTCTCGGGTCCCAGATCTCCGAGAAGATGACTTCCGCAATCCTGGCGGGTTTCCTGGAGTTCGGCCTCTGGGGATCCATCTGGTCTGGGGCGCAGCACTATCCGCGGAGAAGTGGTCGGGACCTCTGGTGGCCGCGCATTGAACGATCACTATCTGCGGATGCCCAGGCTTTATACTGCCTCGCCAGGTCCTGACCTCCGGAGGTCCCCAGAGGCGCTCCTGGAGGCCTCCATTGAGGCCGGAGGCCCGGCAGGTGCCAGCCCTGAGATCTGACGTTGCGAAAGACTGCAGCGTCGCGAAAAATCACGACCAGGCCCTAGACGCCATCTTTCCGTGGCATTCTACGAGTCGGATCGGTCTGCTATGGCCCGGGGGCGGGAAGCCGGGCGACCTCACCTGGTGCGGAAAGAGTTGCCGCACCCAGCTCTCAGGGGAGCCTCGGCGCTCGAGGGCCGAGGCCGGAAGCCCAGCAGGCACGCGGACGGGGCCAGGACGTCGATAAAATCCGTTCCAGAGCGTCCCGGAACGCTCTCAGAGCGTTCGGGGACGCTCCGAGAAGGCCGCGACGCCCGATACGTCCTCCAGAGCCGCCGGATCTCAGAGAGTCTCGATCGATCCTCGCCCGGATTTCTGCTCGTCCTGGCGTCGTCTTCGAGGCACGCCTCCTGGAGCTCGCCAGCGCGGTGGGCGGCACGGCCTTCCGCGTGCTGCAGCTGTTGCCGCCGGCCGGCGCCGGGGGGCCCGGCGCGGAGGGGGGCGCCGAGGGGCGAGGGGCGCTGGTGGCGCTGCTGGCGCGGCTGGGCTGGGCGCCGCAGGCCGCGAGCCTGCTGGAGCACGTCGGGGCAGGATCGGGGGCAATGTTGGTCTATCAGAGGAGGAGGAGGAGGAGGAGGAGGAGGAGGAGGAGGAGGAAGAGGAGGAGGAGGAGGAGGAGGAGGAGGAGAAGAGGAGGAGGAGAGGAGGAGAGGAGGAGACGAGGAGGAGGAGGAGGAGACGAGGCGGAGGAGACGATGAGGAGGAGAAGAGGAGGAGGAGGAGACGAGGAGGAGGAGGAGGAGGAGGAGGAGGAGGAGGAGGAGGAGGAGGAGGAGGAGGAGGAGGAGGAGGACGAGGAGGAGACGAGGAGGAGGAGGAGGAGGAGGAGGAGGAGGAGGAGGAGGAGGAGGAGGAGGACCAGTGCAAACCCAAGATTCATCAGCGATGTTGGAATGAACCCTCCCTCCAAGCTCTCTCTTCATAGGCCCCTACAAGTTCATTTCCACTGAGGGAACTGCCTGGTTGGAAGACAACCGTTTGAAGACACGTGAGCATGCCAAAATATTATTCTCGAGATTCCAACGCCACAGATCAACCTGACTGTTTCGTCTTGACGATCCGGAATCGTGCCAGAACGCCATTCCTGGGGCTTCAACATTGCGAATCAACGTTACTGTTACGCCCTCATTATCCTGAATCCTTCATCACACCACCTCTGGTATGCTGATCATGGGAATCCGTGGAACCCTTTCAGGATGTTCAATCGAATGTGCGCGGCGCTAAGGCGAGAGCCACGTTTCGAAAAGGAACCGCCCTCAATCCGTGAAGCTCTTGTAAGTTGATAAAACTAATGTGCGCGGCGCTAAGGCGAGAGCCACATTTTGGAAATGGGTGGCCCTCCATTTGTGAATTTCTTGCGAATGCTTACAACGAGTGTGCGCGGCGCTAAGGCGAGAGCCACATTTTGAAAACGGGTGGCGTTCAATCCGTGAAGCTCTTGCAAGTTTTTGCAACGAATGTGCGCGGCGCTAACTCGAGAGCCACATTTTGAAAACGGGTGGCGTTCGATCCGTGAAGCTCTTGCATGTTTGTTAAACGAGTGTGCGCGGCGCTAAGGCGAGAGCCACATTTTGAAAACCACCCGCCCTCCATCTGTGAAACAGTTGCCAATGTTTAAGCTTCATGGGTGGTAAATGGTGAGGAGATCTCAGGCGAAACGCCAGGCCCGCTGGCCTCGGGGTGCGACAGGGGGAAGTTATTTACACGGAGAAGGAATGGAGGAGGAGGAGGAGGAGGAGGAGGAAGAGGAGGAGAAGGATGATGATGATGATGATGATGATGATGATGATGATGATGATGCTGATGATGATGATGATGATGATGATGATGCTGATGATGATGATGATGATGAGGAGGAGGAGGAGGAGGAGGAGGAGGAGGAGGAGGAGGAACAGGTACCCATACCGCTACCCTTCGCTCGTTTTCCCCTTTCTGGGGCCTCCTGGGAGGCCCTCGTCGCCACCGCTGGATTCGCCTCGAAATCCTAGTCAGAACGCACCCCAGGAGAGGTCTGGGGAGTAGTGGTATTGGTACCTTTCGGTTTCCCCAGCCCAGGCTACAACGACGGCGGCGGCGGCGACGGCGACGGCGACGACAACGACGGCGGCTCGGGGAAACGTAGGACTCAAATACGCGGGAAGTTAGGTTTGCCGACGCTCTTCAGCAAGCGTGTCTTGGGTTTTGGCGGTTGGGATGTCTGCGGCGGGAGCCAGCGTCAATTTAGCCTGTGTCTCGTCATTGTCATGATGGCCCCGTCAGGCCAACCCGAGTCCCCCGAATCCCAGTCTGACGTCTCCCCGATATTGGGTTGCCGAGTAGATGGATCGCTCCGCATCGCCGATGCGGCTTGATGTGGGGCCAGATCTTCTCCACGCCGATGGCGCCGATGCATCGCCGATGCATTTGCGATGCGGCGCGATCCTCCGACCCCATCTACTCGGACGCCATCTGGGAGGCCGCTAGTTGGGGGGGGATGGGCCAGAGGCTGGAGGCTCGGGGTTGGAGGTTCGAGGTTTGAGGGTTCGAGGTGTGGGGGCGTTTTCGTCGGTTCTCGGCGGCCTTCCAGCCTCGGGGCGCTCTCCAGCAGCAGCGCCTCGCAGAGTGGCGTCCCGGGGTGCGGATCGTCCCGAGCGGCCGCCAGAGGTCTGAGTTATGTCCCGAAGGCCAGCCAGGGACGGGGACGGGCTCAGGGGAGGAGGCATCGACCCCCAATCGCCCACTGATCGCCGATCGGGGCCCGATTGCCCACCCCCGCACAGGCACGCGGGGTTCTGCGGTCGGGGCCCTGTCGCCGATGCACTGGCGAGGTGTCGCTGGTTCCAGCCCGAGGCTGCCCCCCCCGAGCCCGTCCCCCTCTGTCCCTGAGATATCCGACGTTGCGACGAACTTCCAGCAGCGCGGGAGGCCACGACCGCAGCCTGGAGCCCTACAGACCACGTGCTTCTGCAGCACTGCGAGCCGGGTCGACTTAGTGAGGGCCCCGGGGCCCGAACGGGGGCGCAAGCGGAAACGCCCAGTGCGACAAAATCGCAGCGCCCGGATCTCGGGGCATCGATCCTTCCTCCTCGCAGGAGCGGCGCCAGCACCGGGCCCTCTGTTGGGCGAGGAGGTCCGTGCGGCGGGCAAGGGGGGGCCCGCGGCCCTGGAGGGCATCTTCAGCGAGGACCCGCTGCTGCTGAAGGCCACCCTCGCGGCGTCCTTCTCCCCCCTGTTCGCGCACGGGGTCTTGCGGTGCGTCGACTACCAGCCGTCGCTCGCTGGCCCGCCGCAGAGGTCGAAGGGGCACAAGCTGCAGTGATACATACAGTCGGGGCCCTGAAGAAGGAACCCTTTGGTTGGGGAGGGGCTCCGCGTTCCTTAAGTGTTTCGCAGCTTGCCTCAGGTTCTCCTTAGGTTTTCGATCGGAAATCGAAGTTCAACTTATGGAGAAAAAGGGGCCTCGTTCCTTATTTAGGGTTCCTTAGGTCAACGCCCCGACTGTAGATTTCCAGGGGTTCGCGCGGACTTCTTGGATCGGCTCTGGGTCCTCCGTGGCGGCGCCTCTGGTGCCGCCCCATGGCGCCTCTCCGCGCGCCGGCTCCGCGCGCCGAAGCCAGAGCTCCGCGCGGAGCTCCGAAAGCTGATGCTGATGCAGCTTTCTCTCGGGGATGGACAGACCTCCCTTTAGCAAAACGTGGTTTAGTGAAAACGACCTGAGGCCCAAACTTGGCGGGCGCAAGCCTGGAAAATAACGGCCGCGGCGCCCTCTCGAGAACCGAAAAATGGACAATTCACTAATCGACGTGTCACTGTTGGGGGTTCTGTCCACCCCCGATTTTCTTCCTCTAAGATAGGAGGAGGAACAGGTACCCACACCCCTACCCTTCGCCCGTTTCCCCCTTCTTCGCCCTCCTGGGAGGCCCTCGTCGCCACCGCTGGATTCGCCTCGAGATCCTGCCAGAACGCACCCCAGGAGAGGTCCGGGGAGTAGCGGTAGCAGTACCCTCTAGTCTCTCCATACGAGGCCTGGAGAGCCAGCCACGACCGCGGTCATCAAGGCGGCGCCGGTCCTGGCGGCCGCCCATGCCCAGATGCTGTCGCAGCCGTCGCTGGCCGACCCGGGCCCCCGACGCTGCGCGTTCGTGCCTGGGTCCAGCGGTGCCTCGAAGCTGGAGGGGGAGAGGCTCAAGCAGATGGCGGCGCCCCCGAAGGTCAGAAGAGCACGAGATACAGTAGGCACATCCAAGAAGGCATCGGCCTACCAGCAGGTGCCTCACGGACTTGCATTGCCCCCTGATCTCCCCAGGGACCCACAGGAACGCTGGGGCATCTTAGCGCCTTCAAGAGCCCACAAAGAATGTGCACCAACATCTCTTATGGCAAGATTTCTTCTCGTGTGTGTGTGTGTCTACAGTTCCGATACCGCTGCTCGTCGTGGAAGGCACTCGTCGCCATTGTTGGATTATCTAGAAATTTCTGGTCGAAACGTACCAGGGAGCAGTAATATCGCCATATGTTTCCAGAGCTCCGCGCGGAATTCCTGGAACCGCGCTGGGACCCCCCGCGGCGCCTCTGGCGCCGCCCCTGGCGCGCTCCGCGCGCCAGGGAAGAGTGGGGGGGAGTTCCAGCGCCGATCCAAGAAATCTGCGCAGACATCTGCGCGGACCTCCAACAATCGTTGTTTATGCAGGCGTTCGTTTCTCTACATGCGTTCCCCCGGGAAGGACGGCAAAAGCCAGCTGGAGAAGGTGGAGGTCCTCAAGGATGGAGCCTACCTGCTCTTCGAGCCGGACGACCAGTGCGAGAGCGATGCGGACAGCGCGCGGAGCCAGGGCGACGATCCTGTTCGGCCCCCCGAGTCCTTGGTTGCCGAGGTCGAGGAGGAAGAGGAGGCGGCCGCCAAGGAGCAGGCAGCGAAGGAGCAGGCGGCCAAAGAGCAGGAGTCGAAGAGCGGGAAACTGTGTTAAGATAAACTTTCGAAGCTCCGCGCGGATTTCTTGTACCGTCGCTGTGCCCCCATGACGGCGCCTCTGGCGCCGCCCCTGGTGCGCTCCGCGCGCCAGGGAGGGGGATCCAGCGCCGATCCACGAAATCCGTTCGGAGCTCCGGAAGTTCATATTAATGCAGGCTTGACTTTCTGAGGAGGAGAAGGCTGCAAGGGAGAAGGCCGCCGAGGAGGCCAAGAAAGTCAGCGACAGCCAGTTCGAAAAACGAGCCGACGAGAAGAGTGTTGAGCCGAATGGGAGCGGCCAGGAGCAGGGCAGTGAAGCGGCCAGGATCTCGAAAACGGAGGGGAAGGCGGGCACCGCAGAGGAGAAAATGATCGCGCTGCAGAGGGAGACCGAGAGAGCGAGTCAGGACAAGGAGAAGGAGAAGAGGAAGGACAGGGAGCGGGAGAAGGATCGCGACAGGGAGAAGGTAAAGGACAAGGACCGGGACAGGGCCAAGCGGAGTCGGTCCAGGGGCAAGGAGAAGGCCAAGCGCAGCAGGTCGAGGAGCCGGCGGGCCCGGTCGCGGTCGAAGGACAAGAAGAAGCAGAGGGACAAGCGCAGCCGGTCGGCCAAGCGCCGCAGCAGGTCCCGGAGCCGGGCGCGGCGCCGCGGCAAGAGCAGGAGCCGGAGCAGCGCCAGCAGCAGCGGCGACGACGCGGCAGAGGATGCCACCGACGACGGGGGGCCAGCCGCCGACTCGGCCGAGGCGGAGCTGGCAAAGATGATGAGCGACCAGGATGGTGAGGCTTCGGGTGGCGCACGGGTAGCCCCCCCCCCCAGGTAGTGCCCGCTGGCCTCGAAAGGCCCCGCGAGTAGTCTGGGGCGGTCTCAAGACCCTGGCGCCGGCTCTGGCGGCGCCCCTGAGACCGCCCTGGGCTCCTCGGGGGGCCTGCTGGGGTCAGCTGGGACTGCAGGGGGGGGGCTGTCCGGGAGCAGCCCGAAGCCGTACCAAACCAGGAGCGGATCCAGCGCATGCAGGAGCGGCGAAAGGAGAGGAAGGTGGCCGCGGAGGCGAAGGCCGAAGCGGCTGCGAAGGTTGCGGCGGCGAAGGCCGCCGAGGAAGAGGCCAGGGGCCCGCTGGCCATCAAGGCGACGGCTGAGAAGGAAGCTGTGGTCGACATCGAGTCGGACAAGGAGGAGGTCAGACGAGGAAAAGGTACTGCTACGGCTACCCTGCTTCGCCATTTGGGGCCTCCTGTGAGGCCCTGGTGTCCGCAGCTGGATTCGCCTCGAAGGTCTAGTCAGAACGCACTCTAGGAGAGGTCCGGGGAGTAGCAGTACCTTTTGTTTCCCGTGCTGGAGGAGGGGATGGAAATTACCAGAGCAGCCGACACACCAGCATCGGGTGAAGGAAAGGGCACGGCGGAACTGCTCGCCGCCGTGGCCAGGGCGGAGGAAAAGCTCGCGAAGTCCGTGGCCAGCGCAAAGAAGGTGATGTCGCAGCAGGAGGGTGCGAAGCCGGAGGACCTGGAGGCCGCGGAGGCTGAGGACAAGCTGGTCGACGTTGGGGAGTCTTCGGACGAGTCGCAAGTGTTGGTGCGCCAGAGGAAGAAGGGCCGCAGAAAGCGCTCGCCCTCGCCCGCCAAGGAGGGCACCGCTGTGGCCGACCCCATCGAGGTGGAGGAAGTGGACCCGAAGGTGGACGGGGAGGCCGAGCGGGACAGAAGCCAGAGCCGAGACGACGAGTCCAAGGCTACGCTCGAGGGCACGGCGGATAAGAGCAAGTCGTCGGGAGACCAGCCAGAGGGCAGCCAGGACCAGCAGGGTGATAGCGGCAATCCAACCGTCGCAGAGATCGCGTCCGACTCGGACGTGAACTTGTCCGACATGGACCTCTCCGACGTCGAGGAGGCCATCGCCAGGCGGGCCGAGAAGAGGAAGACCAAGGATTCGCAACACAAATATTTACCCCACCCCCCCACAGTGGATTCTCTCTGGGCCTCAGGGGAGGGTGGCGATGTAGAAGTCACCACTGAGAGGCAGCGACTTTATACACCGCCGCTCTCCCTGAAGGCGCATGGAAAACTCATCGATGGGTGTCTGTTTACAGCAGGAACGTCAGAGTGAGGGGGCCGAACGGTCATTCATTGTCCCTGGGTGTGTGGCTGAGCTGGGGATTCGTGGTGAGGATTATGCTTGTTGCGTTGTTGTTGTTGTTGCTGCTGCTGTTGTTGTTGCTGCTTTTGTTGTTGTTGTCGTTGTTGTTGATGCTGTTGGATGTTGATTATTAAACAATTACTATTGTTGGACCCCCCCAGGCGCCTTGGCGCTCTCGCCTCGGCGCCGGCTACATGTTCATTGAAAATGCGGCTCACGCTCGAGCGGTTAGGGGGGGCGCCAAAACGGGCCCCCCACCAACGACAACGCTCCCGCTGGAGAGTTCCTCCTTTTGTACTCAGAGCCGGTGCTGTTGCTCGCCGCCGAACACCGCCGCCCCAACAAAACCAACGCTCCCGCTCGAGACTTCCTGTTTTCTTACGCAGAGCCGGTGCTGTTGCTCGCCGCCGAAAACCGCCGCCCCAACAAAACCAACGCTCCCGCTCAGGACTTCCTTTTGCTCAACAAAAAACTCAGAGCCGGTGCTGTTGCTCGCCGCCGAAAACCGCCGCCCCACCAAAAGCAGCGCTCCCCCCCGAGACTTCCTCCCGTTTTACGCTGGACTGGCGCCCCACTCTTTTTTGAATTGGCGCCGCCCCCAGCGAGAACAACGCTTCTGCTCGAGGCTTCCATCCTTTTTCCTGAGGACGATGCTGTTCCTCGCCGCCGACAGTCCCCGTCCCGACAAAACCGCGGCTCCCGCTCGAGACTTCTTCCCTTCGTGCTCAAGGCGGTGTTCCTCCTCGCGGCCGACAACCGCTGCCCCAACAGAACCAGCGCTCCCGCTCGAGACTTCGTTTTGTTTTACGCTGGACTAGCGCCATACTCTCTTCTGCATTGGCGCCGCTCCCAGCAACAACAACACCCCTGCTCGAGACTTCCTCCCTTTCTATTCAGGGCCAGGTCCTTGCCTCGCCGCCGACAGCCCCCATCCCCACCAAGCCAATCCTGTCGCTCGATGCTTCCTTGTGCTTTACCCTTGGCTGGGGCTCCACTGGCGGTCTCGCATTGGCGCAGCAGGGAGCGGGCATGTGTTTTCGAGGCGGAATATGTTGAAATTCCTCGGAGGAGGTATTTGCAAGACCTCATTTGGCGGGAGATCTGGGAATGGGAATAACGGACCCCTGCTATAGAGCAGCAATCCCCCATGATGGGAATGGTTAGCATGATTGTCGCATGCTGCGTGTGGAAGCATCGCGCATGAGGGTAAAATGATTGTCATTGTTGTTGTTGTTGTTGTTGCTGTTGCTGTTCTTGTTCTTGTTGTTGTTGTTGTTGTTGTTGTTGTTGTTGCTGTTTCTGTTGCTGTTGCTGTTGCTGTTGCTGTTGCTTGTTGTCGTCGTCCCACCCTCGACCCACCCGCGATACCGACTCACATTGGTTCAACGAAAAAATCGGCGCCTGCCGGCGGCGGGCTCGTTGCACAATGTGTTAAACTTTGGCGCCTGCGGCGGCCTTCTGCAGAGTCTCGCAAACTGCCGACGTCCCCACCGCCCCCTCACTCTCATCAGCATCTGCGGGGTGCTGCGTAATAGAAGACCCGGCCTGCCAGCAGGTGCCCCACAAAAGTCTCTCGTCCCCGATGGCTTCGGGGGAACCCACAGGAGCCCCGGACCACCTCAAGAATTCCAGCACTCGAGCACACACACGTGCCCCTACACCTCTTCTATAGCACGACTCCTCGCCACGTGCGAGCCTACTGTGCAGGTTTTCGCGGTGCAGAGGCGGCCACCGCCACCGAGGGCGGCGAGGGCGGAGAGCCGGGGGCCGAGGGGGCGGCCACTGTGACCACCAGAGATAGCACAGGGAGGAGGAGGAGGAGGAGGAAGAGGAGGAGGAGGAGGAAGAGGAGGAGGAGGGCGGAGGAGGAGGAGGAGGAGGAGGAGGAGGAGGAGGAGGAGGAGGAGGAGAAGGAGGAGGCGTCGGCTGCACTTCAGGGTGACCCTTCGCCGGAGTGGCCTCTGGTGCGGGCCCCCGCAGGTGTCCCTCCCCGAGCACCGGCCTGCGCGCTTGGATCCTGCGCCCCCCCGCAGCCCCCCGGAAGCTCCCTAAAGCCTCCTACCGCAACAGAAGCCACTGAAAAGGGGGGGGGCGGGGAGCGGGGGGGAAGAGGCGAGCCAGAAGCTGCTGGCTTGAAGCTGTGTCATTCCCGACCTCGCCGCGAGCGCGCTTCGGTGTGGGGGCAGTTAATGGTCCGAGCGCGAGCGAGGGCGGCGAGGGCGGAGCGCCCGGGGCCGAGGGGGCGGCCGAGGAGGGCGGGGGGCAACGACAGGGGGGGGGGATCGGCTCAGGGGGGAACTCGTCGACCCGCCAAACGCCCAGTGTTCCCCGAGTAGGGGCCTCACAGCCCCACCCCCGCCCCGGAGCTCACGGATTCCCTCTGGGGGGGGGGCCTGTCGCCGATCTGTCGGCGAGGTGCCGTGGATTCCGGGCCGATCTGTGTCCTCGCTGTGCCAGTCCCCCCCCCCCCTCTCGCTGCCCTTCGAGAGGAGGCAGCCACCGCCACCGAGGGCGGCGAGGGCGGAGAGCCGGGGGCCGAGGGGGCGGCCGAGGAGGGCGCGGCGGCCCCCGCGGCGGGCGGCGCGGAGGGTGTCGAGGCGGCGGCCGCCCCCGAGCCGCCCGCCGCCCGCTCGGAGGCGGAGGAGCCCTCGGCCGCCGCCGAGGCCGCCGTGCGGCCTGCGGTCGAGGGCGGCGGCGGCGCGGAGGCGGACCCCACGGCGGCGCGTCTTCGTGGTCGTGGTCGTGGTGGTGGTCGTGGTCGTGGTCGTCTTCGTGGACGTCAGCGTGGTCGTGGTCGTGGTCGTGGTCATAGTCGTGGTCGTGGTCGTGGTCGTCGTCGTCGTCGTCGTCGTCGTCGTCGTCGTCGTCGTCGTCGTCGTCGTCGTCGGGATCGTCGTCGTGGTCGGGGTCGTCGTCGTCGTCGTCGTCGACGTCGTCGTCGTCGTCGTCGTCGTCGTCGTCGCCGAGGGCCGCGGCGTGGCGGAGGAGGGCCCCACCGTGCCCGGCCGCAGCGGCGCGGAGGGCATTTGGGCGTTGCGCAATATGGGGGGGAGGGGGGGGGGTCGGAGTCGATGGGGTCGGAGGATCGCGCTGCATCGCCGATGCATCGGCGATGCGGCTCGATGTGGAGCCCGATTTTCTCCACGCCGACGGCGCCGATGCGTCGCCGACGTCGCCGCTGCATCGGCGATGCATCGGCGACGCATCGTCGATGCATCGGCGATGCGGCGCGATGCTCCGTCCCCATCCACTCCGATCCCATCCAGGAGGCCTCTAGATAAGTGGGGGGGGGATGAAGAAAAGCGCACCTGTTGCGCCCCTTCGGGGCCCTGTAGAGGGACCTCTGGGGCCAACAACAGGTACGTGGAAGGTGCACGCTTCTGCGCCCCCGCCATTTATCGCCCCCCCCCCCTCCCCTTGAAGCAGCGCCCAAGGCATGCTCATGGCGGGGTTCCTCTCCAGCGTGCTGGGCGGGAAGGTCGCGGCCCCGCGCATGGAGGCGCATCGTCGGAGGAGGGCGAGGCTGAGGCAGCGGCAGCTCGTCGCCACGGCGGGGCGCAGCTCGGAAAGCTGGGTGCGGCTGGACCCCCAGGAAGGGTCCGGGGGCCGATGCTGAGCTGCAGTGGCCTCGACTCGCCATGCTGCTCCGAGGTGGTGAGGAAGCAGCGGCGTGAGCATGAGCTTCCAGAGCTCCGCGCAGATTTCCTGGATCGGCTCCGGGCCCCGCCCTCCCCTGACCCTGGCGCGCCCCGCAGGCCAGGGGCGTGGAGGGGGGGGGCCCCGCGCCGATGCAGGGAGCCCGCGCGGACCTCCAGCGAAGCCTGTGCGTTCTGCAGAGTTCTCTCCTCGAGGCGCCCGCGCCCCAGGAGGAGCAGGCAGAGCTGCCGGCGCCGTCGCAGGGCAGGGCCGAGGACGAGCTCTGCTCCCTGAGCGTGTCGCAGCTGCAGCAGCGGCTCAGGGCCAAGGCCGTGGTCATGCCGCCCAAGCTGGCTGCAGCGGCCGACGGCGACAAGCTGGCGGCGTCCAAGTTGGCCGCCCTGCTCCGTGCCGCCGGAGACGACGGCTCTGCCCACGCGGATAGCAAGGGGCCCGAGGAGCATCCGCCCAAGGACGCGGAGGGCAGCGCCCAGGCCGACGGCAAGCAGCAGCCCGCGGCAGTCGACGGCGAGCGCCAGGACGGTGACGAGCCCGCCGCCGCCGAGGCCGCCGGCGCCGACGACGTGGACATGGACGCCTTCATGTCCGAAATCGCGGGCGTGGAGGCAGAAGGTGGTTCCTCCGGCAAGCCGGCCGTGGCGGACGACGTGGACATGGACGCCTTCATGTCCGAGATCGCGGGCGTGGAGGCAGGAGGCGGTTCCTCCGGCAAGCTGGCCGCGGCGGACGACGCGGACATGAACGCCTTCATGTCCGAGATCGCGGGCGTGGAGGCCGGAGGCGACCCTGCCGCGTCGGAGCCCCAGGCCTCGGGCGGGCCGGGCGCGGCGGCCGAGGGCCCTCAGGCCGGGGCCGCCCGCGAGGTCTCCGAGGACGCCTTCGCGGCCTTCATGTCCGAGATCGACTGCCTCAGCGAGGCGGCGCCGGACACCGCCGCAAGTGCCCTGCCAGAGGCCTGCACGATCGAAACAGGGACGGAACCAATGGCCGCGAGGGCCGACAGCAGTTGCTGTGCATTTTGGGCAGGACTCCCCGCGCATCGCTGTCCGCTTGGGACAGGCGGCCGGCTGCCCAACAGCGGCCGCTGTCGTTTTGAAGAACATCTGCTATTGGACATAGTGCCCATGTGTTTTATGCGTCGCCGCGCCGGTTGTTCCGATGCGCGGCCTTCTGCATTGGGGAGGGCGCGGCTGCCACCAGGGCAAACTCCGCCTCGGACACAGACTTTGCCCTGGGTTTGCCGCGGCGCCGGCTGCGTCTCTTGGGGCGCGGGGCGCAGGCCTTGCCGTGGGTTTGCCTTGTTGTCGGCGTCGTCCACTTGAGCGGGTCGAGTTCAAACGGCGCGGCGACAGATAGTCGCCCCTGATTAGCAGGTCGACCCTGCCAGAGCAATGGTACCCTTGTGTCCTGTGCCTCGCGGCCCATACCTTCTCACATTCCTATGGTAATGTGGCCTTCAGAATGGTCTTGTGTCCTCTCGCGTGCCCTTTCCAATCAAGTCCGACTGTATCTGCATCCACTTCGGGCGTCCGAAGGAGGGGCCTCCAGCGGCGGTGGCGGAGGATGCGGCCGCGGCGGCGCCAGACCAGCCGCTATCGCTGCGCTTCGTCCCGCAGCGGCGCGCCTGGGTGGTGGCGTGCCCCGGGCTACAGGTCGGCGGCGCGCCCCAGGGGGGAGCCCCGAGATCCGGGCGTCGTCGTCGTCTTTCGTCGCCGCCGTCGTCGTCGTTGTCGCCGTCGTCGTCGTTGTCGCCGTCGCCGTCGTCGTCGTCGTCGTCGTCGTCGTCGTCGTCGTCCTCGCCTTTCCTCCCGCTCTCTCTCGCCGCGCCGCGACGACCGGGCGTTTTCGCTCGGTTTCGGGCCCCGGGGCCACCACCTGCAGGAGCAGAGGAAGAAATAATCGGCCCCAGACATCCGGCGCCTCAATGACTGTCGAGACGGAGGCTCTTCGTCGTTTTGGGCCTCTCATGGGCCCGTACCGGGCCTCGGGACCGTCAAAAAACGAACCGGAATGAAATGCTGGTCCCAGGGAAGTGGTCGCAAGTCTAGAGAGGTCGGGGGCCCGTGTCTCGTGTCTGGGCACTGGCCAGCCATCACAGATCGACCTGGCTCGTCACATGCCGCAGAGAGATGGGGCCTGGAGCTCCGGTCTTGATTTTTCTCGGTGTTGCATGTTCTTCTGACGTCGGATCTCAGGGGAGGGGTCGGGCCTTTTCGGAAGGCTCCGAAGGCCTCCCGCCTTCTGCGGAGCTTTTTTTTTTTTTTTTTTTTTTTTTTTTTTTTTTTTCTGAAGGCAGGGACGGCTACCCAGGAGGCACTGAGAAGCCCGCCGCCTCCTGAGAGGGCCTGCCCCCCTCACCCCTTCTCCTGGGCGAGAAACAGGATCCTATCCACGGCCTCGCGAGCCGGGCCCCTGGGCCGCGACCCCGCACATATACACGGGGCGTGTTCCCGCGGATGTCCCCCGCGCGACCGCGCATCCGCGCGACCGCGCCTCCGCGGCATCGCGCCCAGAGTCCAGATCGCGAGGGCGCGGATGCGGATCCGTTCGCCGCTCGCGACCCTCGACGCGCGGCCCGGCAGGAGGAGGAGAAGGTCTTCTGCCTCAGGATGGGCGCGATCGCGGCGCGGAGGGCGGCGCTGCGGCACGCGGAGCGGTGCGAGCAGAGGCTCAAGGCCCAGGGCACCAAGGGCAGGCCCGAGGCGCAGCAGGGCGCGGAGGAGCAGGGCGCCTCCCCGGAGGCCCGGCTGCTGCAGGCGCTCGCGGACAACGAGGACCAGTCGCGGGCGAAGATCTCGTTCTCGCTCAGCAGGAAGCCGCAGCCGGAGGACAAGTCCGCCGAGGCTCGAGGACGGACAAAGCGGCACGAGCGTACGGTAGGTTCGCGTCGTGTCGACCAGCGGCGACCCCGCCGCGGGCGTTCAAGGTTGAATGCCGCCAGAGGCCCAGAGTCGGCCTAGATGGAACGATCGCGCGATCGGAAAGCCGCCGATCGTTCAAGGTTAAACGATCCACGCGGTGTCAGAAACCAACGCCGGGGTCGTCACGACGCGAACCTGCCGTAGGCTGCCGGAGCTGCGCTCGGATTGCTTGCATCGGCGCCTGGGCCTCCCTGCCCGCGTCTTCAGCGCCTCCGCGCGCCGGAGAGAAGGGCCCGGCGCCGGTCCGAGGACTCCGCGCGGTGCTCCGACAGCTTATCCTTACTCCGTTGAGTTGTCTGTTCCAGGCGCAGCTTCTCCAGGCCATCGCAGACGAGGAGAAGCTGAAGCAGAAGGAGCAGGACCTCGCCGAGCGGGCCGGGCCGAAGGATGCCACGAACGGCCAGCAGGAGCACGAGGCCAGCTGGAGCCGCGCGTGCCGAACGCCCTACGCCGGCACCTGCGACTCCATGCAGATCCTGCAGAGCATCGCCAACGGCAGAGTACCGCCCAGCCTGGCCAAAGAGCAGTTCGAGAAGTACCGGCCCGTGCACCCTTTCCAGCTGCACTGGCGAATCTGCCTGCACAGGGGCCGCCCAGCTAGGGTCGGGGGCGGCTTCGGCGCCGGTGACCTCCTGGGCCCCACCGGCATGGTCGTCTCGTGCCCCTCGCGGGGCACGGTGGCACGCTTGAGAAGGCAGACGGACCCCGTCCTGCGCCAGAACGACGAGGCGGAGCTGCAGAAGAAGATGCAGCGGCTGCACAGCCTGCGAGACAGGCTTACCACCGCCCTCGCGAAGCCGTCGGCGGCCAAGCAGACCGAGGTGTCCATGCGGCGAGCGCTCGAGCAGACGGAGGCGGGCATCGCCGCCGCCCAGGCCAGCGCGGACGAGCTGATAGACCGCTCCTGGGCCCGCCGTGCCGAGCGGGTAGCCATCTTCTACAACGTCGAGGGCCAGAGCTGTTCGAGCTCGCAGGACCCAGATACCCGACGTCGTGGTTTTCTCATGACGCGGACCCCCCAGAGGTCTGGACCCCTTCCTGGGCACCGGCTCTTCATCCCGAGTGCTCTTGTTGACGGTCCCCTGGCCCAGCACGGGCCCCCGAGCGCCAAACAGAGGGAGCAACCCTCCGCCATGATTCTTGTCCAGGCCGAAGCCGGGCGCGTTGAGGCAACGGCAGCTCGAATCGGTCCGCGGATCCCTCTCAGGGTCCAGACGCACCAGTTCTTCGAGCTGTGCCCAGCCGTGGCGACGAGCTCCCCCCCCCCCTCAGAGCGTGAATTACCTACCCCGCTTTCGCTTCCAGGCAAAACCAAGTCGTACCACGCGCCTCCTCGTCAAGCGGCCTGACCAGTACAGGCCGTAGTTTGGCATCGCTTGGTATCTCTTGGAAGCGAGGGTGGTCAAAAGCGAGGTAGGTTTGTTTGCCCCCTACCCCCGAAGGCCAACTGCCGCTGCCTCAGCTCGCCCTCCTCCGACCATGCGCCTCGATGCACCCCAGAGGGTCCGTCTGTACGGCCCCTTACCCAGACCCCCTCGAGTCATGACAAAACTCACGACGGGCCTTTTTGTTCGTTGTTTCCGGCCTCTGGGGGCCCCCGCCGGGCCTCGGGACCGAGAACAAAAACGACTCGGGATGAGTAGCTGGTCCCAGGGAGTGGGTCGAGACCTCTAGGGGTCGACGTCATGAAGAAACACGACGTCGGGGGTCTGGGAATGACGGTGCACGAAAGTCGGGCCGGGCGAAAGGGGGGGATTGGGAAAGGGGGGGGTACGAAATTTGCTGCACGCAGCTGGCTTCGGCCTCACCGAGGGGCCCGTTCCTCGATACATGGCCGCCTCCGGCGCCAGGAGGCGCCAGGAAAATCAGCTACGTGAGCTGATTCTCAAACCCCCCCTTTGCTAGGAGGAGGAGGAGGAGGAGGAGGAGGAGGAGGAGGAGGAGGAGGAGGAGGAGGAGGAGGGAGGTGCACCTGTCTTCCCCTCGGCCAGGCCGAGCTCGGCCCGGGCCGAATGCAACTCGGCCGAGGCCGGGGTCGGCCGGCCGAGTTCGCCCGGGCGCCGAGTTCACCACTGGTCGGGTCGAGCTGGCCGAGCTCGGCGTGGCCGCGTCTGCTCCTGGCCGAGGTTGCAGTCGAAGCCGATCGTAGGAGTGGGTACTCCAGATTTCGTAATAACAGGGAGGGGGTCTGGAGCCTCCAAGACAAGCCATTTCAGACCTCCCCCGTGGGAGAACCCTCCAAAACATCGTCCCCAGACCCCCCAGGCCCTCCAAGATAGCCTGGAAGAGACCCCCTCCGAAATGAGACCCCCCTCCCTTTGTTACGAAATCTGGAGTACGTAACATTCCGCAGGGTACCCTTGCATCCGTGCCTCTCTGGTCCATCCCTGACCATTCTCGATGGCCTGCCGCGCTCGAAAAGCTTCAGCACGGGCGTCCAAGGGGCTCGTACCCTTCGACTACATGTAAGATTGACCCTTCGCTGGAGTGACCTTGGGTGCGGGCCCATCGGGGTCCCCCGATCGCCGAACGCGATGCGATAGCAGCGTCTTGCGCGCTTGCGCGCTTGTGTTTGGTCCCCCTGCGGCCCCCCAAAACGCCGCGCACCAAAGGCCACTCCTATTCAGCACCCCGCTGTTTCGGATAAGAGTGAGGGGCGGGCGCGGGGAAGGTCGCGGGTGGGTCGCGGGCGGGTCGCGGGCGGGTCGCAGGCGGGTCGCGGGTGGGTCGCGGGTGGGTCGAGAGTGGGTCGCGGGTGGGTCCCGGGATGGGTCTCCAGGCGGGTCGCGGGTGGGTCGCGGGCGACGGCGACGACAACCACCAACAACAACAACAATCATTTTACCATCATGCGCAATGCTTCCACATGTCACATGCATGTTTCTGGATACCACACCACATCATAGGGGATTGTTCTGGCATGCGGGGTCCGATATCCCTTCGCCCAGATATCCCGCCCAAGAAAGTCTTGCCACCACCTCTTCCGAGGAACTTCGACATCCACAGCTCGGACGGCACATCGCCATCGCAATCGCCTTGCGCACGCCCCGCATGTCGGAGGAGGAGGAGGAGGACAAGGAGGGGAGGGAAAATGAGGGAGAGGAAGAGGGAGAGGAGGAGGAGGAGGATGGAGGAGGAGGAGGAGGAGGAGGAGGAGGAGAAGGAGGAGGAGGAGGAGGGGGAGGAGGAAGCAGGAGTACGGTCAGGGGGTTTCGTTTAGCGTGCATGGTCGCCCCGCCAGCCCCGGGGGAGGAGGTACACGCGACACGAAAAATCGACGCCGGTACACGCTAAGCGAAAAATGCGGAGATCGCGCTGAACGTCGAGGGTAGGGTGCCACGTACACGCTAAACGCTCTACTGTTCTCGCTGCCCTTCGTGGCCCCGTTGCAGCCCTTCGTGGTCCCCTCGCTGCCTTTCGTGGCCCGTTGCAGCCCTTCGTAGCTCCCACGCTGCCCTTCGTGGCCCCGTTGCGGCCATTCGTTGTCTTTTTCGCTACCCTTCGTGGCCCCGTTGCAGCCTCTCGTGGCCCCTTCGCTAGCCTTCGTGGCATCGTTCCTCCGTGGCCCCCCGCTGCCTTTCGTGGCCCCGTTGCAGATCGCGCTATCGCTTGGGAATTCCTCGCGGTTCATGCAGGACGCACGCTTCAGCGGCCCGGTTGCTCGACCTGGCCGCCTGGGCCCACCTTCCGGACCCGCTCGTTATGGCCCATCCGCCCGATCTGCCTGTCCGATTCTGCCACTTGTTTTCTGTTCCTAGCCCCCTTTCTGCTTCTCTCTCTCTCTCTCGTGCTCCATCATCATCCTTTGCCTTGCCCCTTCCTTCCTCTCTTCCCCTGCTTCAGGGGCCGTACCACATGCACGCTGCAGGTAAGGAAGATATACCCCCGTGGGGGTACGATCGAAGACGGAAAGTGCGGGTTTCGATGGCTTGGGATAGACGTGATGAATGACACGCGAGCAGATAAGAGCGATGACTTGTTGTTGTTGTTGTTGCTGTTGTAAGCCAGGGGCCAACAACCCAGTCTGGTCACACTTTATTTTCCGTGTAAAAAACCAGATGCGAACCCTGGGAAAAGCAGTGTAATTGAAAAGTGCGTTGGCTACCAGGCAGGGGGATCAGCAACCACTTTTTTGTTGAACTGAGAACCCAACAACAACAGCAACAACAGCAGCAGCAACAACACCAACATCATCAAACCCAACAACAGCAGCAGCACCAACAACACCAACAACAACATCAACCCACAACCGCAACAACAACAGCAGCAGCAACAATATCAGCAGCAGCAACAACAACAATCTGCGCGCGGAGCCCCGTTTCAGCCACGCGCCCCAGGATAGTGAATGACCGTTCGGCCCCCGGGCCGCTCTTGCGTGCAGTCGAATCCCTACCGCACAGCCTTGCTACCAGTTTCGGCTGCAGCTGCCGCCTCAGCCCGCCCTCCTAGCAGGACCCAGGCGAAGGCGGAGGGCCTCGGCTGCGCGGCCTCACCGTGCTGCCGGACGTGGACCGCTCGGGCGCGCTGCCGGCACTGCTGCTGCTGGCCTTCCTGAGGCCGCTGTCCTGCGGCGCCCGCGGCGGCTGCAGCGCGCTCTGCGACCTAGACGCCCGGCAGGTCTGGGCTGTCTCGGTTTTCGGCCATGCGGCCCATACCGCAGCCTCGCCCCGTTTTCGCCTTCTTGGGTTTCCTTGGAGGCCCTCGGCGCCACCGCTGGATTCGCTTCGAAATTCTTGCCAAAATGATGCACCCCGGGATCGGTCCGGGGGGTAGCGGTATCGGAGCCGGGCGTTTTCCCGAAATCGGCGGAGAGCGAGAAGGGGAAGTGAGAAGGAGAAGGCGTTCTCTCCGAAGCGGGAATTCATCCATAACCATCGCCTGGGGGAGCGATCTTCGGGAACGTCGGCAGGCGGTGGATATGAATACATTTGGGCCCCCTTGGGCCCAGATATATCCATAGCTACCGCCCGCTGGGGTCCAAGGGCTGCGGCTCCCCAGGCGGTAGATATGGATAGATTCCCGCCTCGCATTCTCAGAAGGCGGCGGAACTTCTCAAAAGGCCGTCGGTCTTCTGAGAAGTTTTGTGTTTTCGGGGAAGGCTAATAGAAAACGCCTCGAAAGGCCAGGGGACTTCCGGGCCCTCGGAGAAGGCCCGCCCCTTCTCACATCCCTCCCTGGCTCGCCGCCGATACACGCCTGGCAGGTCCGGGCTGTCTCGGTCTTCGGCCACGCGGGCGAGGCGCTCGAAGAAGGGGAAGACAACGAAAACTACGACTAATAACAGTAATGACAAGGATAATAATACGAATGATAATAATAATATTATTATTGATAATAATAATAGTAATGCTGATGATAATAATTATGATAAAAATCATAACCACCATAATAATACTAATAATAAAACTACTAATACTACTTCTAATAATAAGAGTAGTACGAATAGTACTGACAATAATATGCATAATAATGGTAAACATAAAGAAGACGCTCGGGGCACAAACAATATGAATCAAACAATGCATGCTTTCTCGAAGGTCCGCGCGGATTTCTCGGATCGGCGCTGGAGCCCCCAGGGAGGTTGGTCCAGAGCCGATCCGAGAAATCCGTGCGGGACTCCACAAGTCTGCGTTGATGCAGCTGATGTCCCTCTGCAAACGAACGGCACAACACACAAATTTGCGGACCCCGAGATCGTGATTTGCTGTCTCTCACGGGGCCCTCAAGCCAGGCCTTGGGCATTTTCGCCCAGCTTCGGGCCCGGGGCCATCACAGATCGATCCAGATCGAAACATGCCGCAGAGGGATGGGGTCTAGGGTTCTGGTAGTGTTTTTCGGAGCTCAGCTCTGATGTTTTTTATCTACGCTGGGGCCACCCTGGCGGCGCCTCCAGCGCCGCCCCTGGCGCGCGCCAGGAAAGAGTTGGGGGGGCCAGCACCAGTTCAAGGCATCCGCGCCCAGCTCCGAGAGTTTATGCTTATGCAGTTTTTTCTTTCTTCTGGAGGCGCGCTGGGTGCTGCCGCTGTCGCGGCGCAGAAGGCTCGGCCTGGGCGACCTCGCGAGGGCGAACAGGCTTCGGAGGGGATCGATGTATACACCACGCCGTTGGGTCGGCCAGGGAGCCAGGGAGCTCGGCGAAGGAACTCGGTGTACATACATACATAGATGCTCCAGCGTCACACACGTTTGGCAACACCGAGCTCCCCAGACCTCCAACGTCATGATTTTTTTCATAACGTCGACCCCCAGAGGTCTGGACCCCTTCCCCGGGACCGTTTTTCATCCTGAGTCGTTTGATGACGGTCCCAAGGCCCAGTAAGGGCCCCTGGAGGCCGAAAATAGCGAAAAGCCTCGCGTCATGTTTTTGTTCATTGCCCGAGGGGTCTGGGTCATTGGCCCACCAAACGACGTGGCTAGTACGTATGTCGAGCCCCTCCTCTCAAGGCTGCGGGCCGCCATCTCCGCCGCCCTGCTGCGGCCAGCGGGGGCGGGCGGCGCCGCAGTGCTGCGGGAGTGCCCCGAGATTGCGCGCGCTCTGGGCGAGCTCGTGGTCGGGCTGGGCTCGCAGAGGCCAGGGGAGGAAACACCGGTGGCCTAGAGGTTGGACCCAACACTAATCCAGCTGCCCACGGCAAGTCCCGCCACTGTGCCTGGGTTGGGTCATAAGCCTGGTGGATGTTCGTTGGAATCTCGTGGGAGGCCTCTCGAGGGCCTCTTGGAGGCACTTTTGAGGCCTCTTGGGGGCCGTTTTGGGGGCCTCTTGGGGGCCTCTTGGAAGCCTCTTGGAGTCTCCTGGGGGCATCTTGGGCCTTTGGGCGCCTCTTGGGGCCTAGGGAATGGCAACACCACTGACATCGGCGTTGTGCCTCCACCGAGGTAAGATGATCCCGACCTCGGTGATGGTCTTATATCCGGGCTTCCTTGGTGGCTGGAATGCTGTTACCAGCGCCGACATCTGGGATCGTCCTTCCCCCGTGGAGGCCCCCCCCGCGTGTTGGTGTTCGTGCCCAGCTCCAGGCCTCCAAACAAGGTGCCAGTACCGCTGACCTTGGGCCTCGTTCTCGCCCTCTGGGGGGCCTCTCGGGAAGTCCTCGTCGCCACCTCTGGATCCGTGCTGGGAGAAGTCCGGGGAGTAGCAGAATCGGTGCCTTCCCAGGCATCCGACTTTCTGTTTTTTCCCATCCGTGGCCCTAGGGGTCCCGCCCCCTTCCCCTGGGGCAGTTCTATCCCATATTTTTTTTGATGGTTTGGAGGCCCGATAATGATAACGGGCCTGAGGGCCCGATGCCTAGGAACAAACGCCTTTTGAAAAAAAACATACCGTCAGAGATCTGGGTATGCGTAATGCTCCCCAGAAGTCCCGATCCTTTCCCCAGGGCAAGTTCTTCATCTCGAGTTCTATTGTGACGGTCCCGAGGCCCGTCGAGGGCGTCTGGAGGCCGGAAACGACCAATAACTCGCCGTCGTGATTGCTGCACGACGCGAGCATTTTTGGTGTTCCCTTTTCTCCCGTGGAAAAGCCGCTGGATGAAAGAACATCGTGCGTAGCACCCCGCACTTGCGTATAAGAATTAGGGTGCGGCGGCACTCTCGCCTAAAGCTTTCGCCTAAGACCCCCCGCCCAGGACCTCCCGCCCAGGACTCCGCACCCAGGACCCCCCGCCCAGGACCCCCGTCGAGCAGAAACGGGCACACAACGGCCCCGCTCGGCGGCGAGCGGGGGGGGGCAGTGGGAAGGACGAGGCCCTCTCTCAGAAGGCGGCGGGGCTTCTCAGAAGCCCTCGCGCCTTCTGAGAAGCTTGTTGTGTCTTCGGGGGAGGCTTATAGAAATCTTCTCGGAAGGCCGGGGGACTTCCGAGCCTTCGGAGGAGGCCCGCCCCCTCTTCACTCCCCCCCCCCCCAGGCTCGCGGTCTAGCCCCGTCACCCTGCCCGTCGGACATCCTTTGGTTTCCCCAGGAGGCCCGCCTTCGAGGTGGACGACCGCGTCGGCGAGGCCGACGCCGAGGCGGGCGAGGCGCCCGCCGCGCCTCCCGGCGAGGCGCGCAGGAGGCGCTTCGGCGACGTCTGGATCGACCTGCAGGAGAAGAGGGGAACAGCCCCAGACATCTGGCGCCTCGACAAAGAATCGAGACGGAGGCTCTTCGTCGTTTTCGGCCTTTCGGGGCCCTCACCGGGCCTCGGGACCCTGAACAAAAAGACTCGGGATGAAGAACTGGTCTCGGGGAAGTGGCCGAGAGTCTTGAGAGGCCAGGGTCTTGTGCCTCCAAAAAAAATCGAGACGGCGGATTCTGGGCACTGGCCTGGCATCACAGATCGACCCAGGTCGAAACATGCCGCAGAGAGATGGGGTCGAGGGCTCAGATCGCGATTTTCCGCGATGTCGTTTTTTCGCAACGTCGGATCTCAGAGGATCTCTCGGACGTCCGCGTGGATTGTCTTGGATCGGCGCTGGACCCCCCCTCCCTGGCGCGCGGAGCGCGCCCTGGGCGGCCCAGGCGCTGATCCAAGAAATCTGCGCAGAGCTTCGAACGCGTAGCTGCCCTGATACGCCCATGTTGGAACGCAGCACGTGCTGTGCTAAAAGCTTCCGTGCCATCGCGCTGCGTGTCTGTTCGGCACGCGCTGGCCCACGCTTTGGCGAACGTGTCGCGCCGGACCGGCGTTCGCAGTCTGCATGCTGAGCTCCGTGCCAGCACGCTGCGGGTTGCGTGTGGCGTATCGGGGCAGTTGAGCTCTGGTAGCAACTCGTGGGAGCCTTGCACGTCCTCGGAATGCATTCAGTCGAGTACGCTGGCGTGCGCCAGTGTCAGGTCATCGACGAGAGAGCTCTGATCTAGCGTCGATTGACGCCGACTTGGCGTCGATCAGCACCGACTCGCGCCGGTCAGCGTCTTAGCAGCCAATTCCGAATGTTCTTGTACTTGTGCAGACTGTCGGCGGCGAGCCCGGGGGAAGTGTGAAGGGGCGGGCCTTCTCAGAAGACTCGGAAGTCCCCCAGCCTTCTGGGAAGTTCTCCAAACCTCCCCGGAAAACACAAAATTATCTAGGCGAAGGACCCAACCATATGCAGTTGTGGGTACCGCAATTGTGAATATCTTCCTCGGTGAAGCTCCCTATGGGGCCACGAAGCGCTGCACTGGGTGACTGGGGGCGTCGGTGGAGCTCCCTATGTGGCCACGAAACGTTGTACTGGGTGGGCGAAAATGCCAAATTGGGAGTGTGGGGCGCATGCGGGCGGTTTTACTGGGCTTCGGTGAAGCTCCCCATGGTGCCAGGAAGCGCTGCACTGGGCCAAGGGGAACGCATGCAGGCGGTAGCACTGGGGGCTTCGGTGGAGCTCACCATGGGGCCACGAAGCGTTGTAGTTGGTGGGTGAAAATGCTACATTGGGTGTGTGGGACGCATGCGGGCGGTCCCGGTCCCACTGGGGGTTTCGGTGGAACTCCCTATGCGGCCACGAAGCGCTGTTGTGAAAATACCAAATTGGGCGTGTGGGGGGCACATGCGGGCGGTCCCAGTGGGGGTTTCGGTGGAACCCCCCATGGGGCCACGGAACGCTGTACTAGGTGGGTGAAAATGCAAAATTGAATGTGGGACGCATGCGGGTTGTCCCGCTGAGGGCTTCTGTGGAGCTCCTTATGGGGCCGCGAAGCGTTGTATTGCGTGGGTGAAAGTGCCAAATTGGGTATTCCGGGTCGCATGCGGACGGTGGCATTGGGGGCTTCGGTGGAGCTCCGTATAGGGCCACGAAACGCTTTATTGGGTGGGTAAAAATGTCAATTTCACGGTTCCGGGACGCATGCGGACGGTGACCTTGGGGGCTTTTGGGTGGAGCTCCCTATGTGGCCACGCAACGTTGTAGTGGGTGGGTGAAAATGCCAAATTGGGTGTTCCGGGGCGCGTGCGGACGGTGGCACTGGCGGCTTCTGTGGAGCTCCCTATGGGGCCGCAAAGCGCTGTACTGGGTGGGTGAAAATGCCAAACTGGGTGTTCCGGGACGCATGCGGACGGCGGCCCTGGGGGCTTCGGTGGAGTTCCCTATGGGTCCACGAAACGTTGTACTGGGTGGGTGAAAATGCCAATTGGGTGTTCCAGGGCGCATGCGGACGGTGGCACTGGGGGCTTCGGTGGAGCTCCCTATGGGGCCGCGAAGCGCTGTACTGGGTGGGTGAAAATGCCAAACTGGGTGTTCAGGGACGCATGCGGACGGTGGCATTGGGGGCTTCCTTGGAGCTCCCTATGGGGCCACGAAGCGCTGTACTGGGTGGGTGAATCGCAGGAAGGGAAGACGAAGGGGGAGGGGGAGGAGGGAGGAAGGAAAAAGGGAACGCGGGGACCGTTTCTTCAAAACGAGGACCCAACACCACGGGATGGTGGGGAAAATAAGCGTCTCAGAAGGCGCGAGGGCTTCTCAGAAGCCCAGCCGCCTTCTGAGAAGGCCTTCTCCTTCTCACTTCCCCCCCGCGCTCGCCGCCGAGACTTCTCTCACTCGAAGGAGGACGGGGTCGACTGGGACGACGTGCGGATGGAGGCTCCGCCCGCCGCGGAGGAGCCGAGGCGGGGAGAGAACCGCACCTCCCCAAGTCGTCGACAGCAGCAACCGCGAAGGCATTACGGCCACTGCCGCTCACCCTGAAGGACGACGACGGCGGCAACGGCGACGACGGCGACGACGGCGACGACGGCGACGACGACGATGAGGACGACGGCGGCGGCGGCGGCGGCGACGACGACGACGACGACGACGACGACGACGGTGACGGCGACCACGACGACGGCGGCGACGACGACGGCGACGGCGGCGACCACGACAGTGGTGACGACGACGACGGCCGTGGCGACCACGACGGCGACGACGACGGCGGCGATGACGACGACGACGACGGCGGCGACGACGACGACGGCGGCAGCGGCGACGACAACGACAATGAAAATCATTCAAGACAGAAAATGCCCATTGATTTTGCCATCTTGGGGTTCTATTGGGGTGCTCTTGGGGCTTTCTTGGCCGCTTGGACTCCCAGAGCCCAGTCGACTGTTGGTGCCCTCCTTCGTCAAGGTTCGAACGTTTTTTCCTCTTCCCTTTTCAAGGGACGGGCGAACGGCCAATCTACTTTCGACGCCTTCTACTTCATGGTTTTACCCATTTCTTCCGCCCGATGGGTAAACATACACTTTCGGAGGTTCGCGCGAATTTCTTGGATCGGCGCCTGGGCTTCCCTGGCAGCGCCTCGGGCGCCGCCCCTGGCGCGCTTTGCGCGCCAGGGGAGGGGGTCCAGCGCAGATCCAAGGAATCCGTGCGGAGCTCCGGAGGTCGATGCCCACGCCGTCTTCTGTTCCTCCAGAGGAGCCCCCCGAGGAGCCGCCAGCGGAGCCCGAGGAGGAGGAGGCCCAAGGAGGCGGCTTCTTCTCGTTTGACGTGTCCGTCGAGGAGCTGTCCCGCAGGCGCGGGGCCTCGGAAGCCCACGAGGAGGAGGCGGCCGAGGAGGGCGGCGGCGCAGACCGCGCGGCCGAGGCAGGCGAGGAGGAGGCACCGCCGCCGCCGGCGCCGAAGGAGCCGGCGGCGCTCGGTTTCCTGCCAGAGCTCACGCTGCTCCGCGAGCTGAGGGAGCGCGCGGAGCGCTTCGGGCAGATGCGCGCCGAGGCCGCGGAGCTGGCGGAGCTCTGCCGCAGCGACCAGCGGGACGGCAAGAAGCACGCCCGTGCCCTGGTGGAGGCGGCGCGCGACGTGGAGGAGGCGCTCGAGATGGCGCGCGAGGCCTGGGAGGCGGCGTGCGCCGTGGAGAGCAAGGAGGGCGCCGGCCAGGCCATGGCGCTCGCGACGAGCACCATGCGGAAGGTCGGGGCGCTCAAGGCTACGATCACGGACTCGACCGCGCGGCTCGAGCAGGTGAGGCTGGCGGCCACGCAGAGGGAGGCCCGCGCCAAGGAGGGCAGCGCCGACGCACCCCAGCTCTGGGGCGCCGCGGGCAAGGTCCTCAAGCGCGCCCGGGAGGGCCTCGACGAGCGGTGGGAGAAGATAGTGGCCGTGCGCACGAGCGTCGAGGGCTCGCAGAGGATCGGAAGACGGCGAGGTACCGATACCGCTGCCCTTGCCTCGCTTTCGCCTCTTTGGGGCCTTCTGGGAAGCCCTCGCGCCACCGCCGGATTCGCCTCGAAGTTTTGGTCAGGGCGCACCCCAGCAGAGGTCCGGGGAGTGGCGGTTTTTGTGCTTTGTTGTCCCGCCAGGAAAGCCCTCACCAGGGCGGACGACTCTATAGCCCTGGTGAACGAGAGGCTGCAGCGCTGGGCGGATGAGGAGAGAATACTGCAGGAAGAGGAGAAGCTCGTGCAGCAGGGCCGGCACCCCACGCAGAGGCGCGACCCGGCGGAGATGCAGGCCCAGTGGCAGAAGGCCACCGAGCAGGACCGTCAGGACGCGCAGGCGCGCGCCGAGGCGCAGCAGCAGGAGCTCTTTGCCAGGCAGCAGCGCATGCTGCAGCAGCAGTGGGGCATGGGCGAGTCTGCGCAGCCCTCGCCCGACATCATCTACGCGAAGCCCCCGCCGTCTTAGGCCTCGCCCTTTGGCGCCGCGGGCCTGTGCGCGCGCCATCTCTCCGTGCCACGGGCGGCCCGGCTCCGGTCCCTGTTCCCGTCGCCATCTTCCGATCCTGCCTTTTCTCTGATCCCGCACGCTGAGGCAGCACCTGGCGCGCTCTCGCATCGGTCGCAAGCGCAAGCGCGCGCATTGGGAGGGCAGCGCTCGCATGCGTCCCCGCTGTAGAGTATATTCGCCTCGGTATCAGAAAGAGAACGGCCCCGTTCACATCCTCTCCCTGCCCCCACCGCATGCCGAGATGGGTCTGGCACTGTACCTCCACGCTTTACGCACAGGGGCGCACTCGACAGCGGGCCGCTGCCAATGATAGTCGCCACTACTAGTGCGCTCGCGGTAAGGCTGAGCCGAGCCCTCAGGGAAGGCATGGAATGCGTGAGGATTGCTCCGAAGTGGCTCTGCATCAGGCACATCCGATAAGTCATCTTGCTAGCTGCAAGCAATCTTGGGGCACACTTGTCGTCGAGCATTGAATTCCCGCAGATGCCCAAGAGCTTCTGTGGGTCCCCGGGGCCACTGGAGGATAAGACATTTCCCTGCGGCGGCGGCACCTGCTGGTAGGCTGGATTTTTGTCTGAAGCACATACTGCAGTATCCCTGCGGGGGCGCTCGCGGTAAGGGCTCGGTGAGGCCGCTTGGGGGCGGGGGCGCAGAATTAGATGCGCAAATTGGGAGCTCAACGCAGTGAACAATTATTGATGGTGTTGTTGTTGTTGTTGTTGGTGGTGGTGTTGTTGTTGTTGTTGTTGTTGTTGTTGTTGTTGTTGTTGTTGTTTTTGGTGGTGCTGGTGGGGTTGGTGTTGGTGTTGGTGTTGGTGTTGTTTGTGTTGTTGCTGTTGCTGTTGTTATTGTTGTTGTTGCTGTTGTTGTTGATGTTGTTGTTTCACTACTGAAGAATAAGTCGTGTTGATCCCCCCTCCGAGGCACATGATGCTTTTTTCCCATAGGAGTGCCCTTCCCGGGGCTCGCACCCTGTTGTTTATAATATGAAGTCTTGGGTCTCAGAATGGTGTCGTCGGCCCCCGGTTTACAACAACAACATCGGTTCCCGCCGGATACTTCCTCGCAATTTATTGCAGAATCGAGCTATCGTTGGAGGCGTCCTCACAATTTACCTCTGGATCGCGGCTCCCGCCTGATAGTTGATAGTTCTTCACAATGGACTGAAGAATCGCGCTCTCGCTATTGACTTTCTTGCAATCTACCTCTGGATCGCTGCTCCAGTCCGATATTTTCCAGAATGTATTGAAGCATCGCGCTGTCGGTCGGGCCCGCTCGCTGCCCCTTGTGGCCCCGCTCGCTGCCCCTCGGTGCCCCGCTCGTTCCTGCCCTTTGTAGCCTCGCTCGCTGCCCTCCGTGGCCCTGCTCGCTGTCATTCGTGGCCCCGCGCGCTGTGGCCCCTCCTGGCCCTGCTCGCGTGGCCTCCTCGCTGCCCTCTCTTCCTCCGATCCCCTCGTCATTCTCTCCATTTCTCGTTTCCCCTTCGTTTTCCGGTTGAGGAGTGTTTCAAATTACATGTGGCAGGGAAGATCATATAACCTTCCGAAGGGGTTGCGACCGAAGACGAAGAGGGTGGGTGTCCAGGTTCGGGATAATCATGTCGAGTGACACGCGTGCAGGTACGAGCGAGCAGTCTTGAGGTAATGTTTATTCCCCACATCCAAAGTGGGGTTCTTGTTTTCTCTGGACACCCCGCGCAGGAACACTCACCCCCTCTTCTCCTCGCACTCATTCACACACACATCATCATCACTCGCACTCTCTCACACGCTCACGAACATCATCGTCATCATCGGTATCGGCATCATCCTCATTCAAACATCATCATCGCCACCACCACCCACAATCAATCATCATCCTCTTCACCACTCATCTTCACCACCACTCATCATCCTCATCCTCATCATCGTTGAGTAAAGTGTGAGGAAGTCTCAGGCGGGAGCCCCCTCCCTATGGGGCCCGCAGATCATGTTGGTAATCCGAGCGGGTCATCGGAACCCTGTAACTGTCGTCACTTTTGGGCTCCCCAGGCCTGAAAATGGAGGAAGTCTCAGGCGGGAGCCTCGTCTGTGAGTGAATTGGGAGGAAGTCTCAGGCGGGAGCTCCCTCCCTATGGGGCCCGCAGATTATGTTGGTAATCCGAGCGGGTCATCGGAACCCTGTAACTGTCGTCACTTTTGGGCTCCTCAAGCCTGAATATGGAGGAAGTCTCAGGCGGGAGCCTCGTCTGTGAGTGAACTGCGAGGAAGTCTCAGGCGGGAGCCCCCTCCCTATGGGGCCCGCAGATCATGTTGGTAATCCGAGCGGGTCATCGGAACCCTGTAACTGTCGTCACTTTTGGGCTCGTCAAGCCTGAATTTGGAGGAAGTCTCTGGCGGGAGCCTCGTCTTTGAGTGAATTGTGAAGAAGTCTCAGGCGGGAGCCCCCTCCCTATGGGGCCCGCAGATCATGTTGGTAATCCGAGCGGGTCATCGGAACCCTGTAACTGTCGTCACTTTTGGGCTCCTCAAGCCTGAATATGGAGGAAGTCTCAGGCGGGAGCCTCGTCTGTGAGTGAACTGCGAGGAAGTCTCAGGCGGGAGCCCCCTCCCTATGGGGCCCGCAGATCATGTTGGTAATCCGAGCAGGTCATCCAAAACCTGTAACTGTCGTCAATGTTGGGTTCTCGCGCTGCCAGAACGCAGTTCCCAGGCCACACTTTGGATGCAACAAGGAAGTTTTTGGGCTCCTCAGGTCGCCGAGGTGCTGCGACAGGGCGCCGAAGGCGCCGACGACGACGGCCAGGCCGAGGCGCGGGCGCGGAGCTTGCTGATGTTCAGGCCCAGCGAAAGGGAGTTCACATGGCAGAGCTCGGGGGCGCACAGCGTGCGCCGCTCGGGGTTCACCCTGACGCACGCGTCCTACCTGACCTCCACGCTGTCGCAGGGCCAGACGCTGCGCAAGGGCGTCACCATCGACTGCGCGAGAGACGAGGACGCTGGCCGCACGGGCATGTCGGACGAGCAGTGGTGGCTGCACCTCTACGTCATGTTCTCCCGCGCCACGTGCATGCGGAACATGCTGATCCTGCGGCCGCCGCCGCGAGAGTTCCTGGAGTGCGGGCCGCCGGCGTCCCTGCGGAAGGCGCTCCTGGAGTTCGACAAGAGAACGGTTTTGTCCAGGGCGGAGGCGAAGCAGCTCGCGGCAGAGCTGGGCTTCGTGCTGCCTTCCGCCTGAGCGCGGCTGCGCCTCGCTCGAAGCCCGCGGGGTTGTCCCAACGGCTTGGTCTTGCGCGCCAACGGCTCGCGGGGTTGTCCCGACAGCCTGGCCCGCGGGGTTGTCCCAACGGCTGCGCGACGTGACCAGTAGAGAACGCGCCTGTGCTGGCCGTGGCGGCGACGGCGCCGAGGAACATCGACATGCGCGCTCATGCAACAGGAAGGGGAGGAGGTGGCGGGGCGCGGAACAAACAGGGGGGCGAGGATGGGGACAACGTAAGGAGTGGAAGGGGGGCCCGCGCCAAGGCGAGAGGAAATATACGCAGAAGAGACAGCCAGGACGCCTCACCAACCACGAGGACGACGGTGATGGCTTTTTCCAGATTCGCCCAGAGGATTCTTATGTGGGGTTCTTCCGTCGGAGTAATTGTTGCTTTTGTTGTTGCTGCTGTTGTGTGTTGCTGTTGTTATTATTATTTTATTTCCAAAGAGCTATAGTTGTTGATCTCCCCTGCCCGGTAACCATTAAATTGCTCTAGTAAAGTACTCGGCGCAGGAACCGCATGCGAGTTCCGCCACTGGGACCTTCGGTTCAGCTCCCTATGGAGCCACGAAGCGCTGTACTGGTCGCAGGAGCCGCATGCGAATTCCGCCACTGGGACCTTCGGTGGAGCTCCCTATGGGGCCACGAAGCGTTGTACTGGTCGCAGGACGGCATGCGAGTTCCGCCACTGGGACCTTTGGTGGAGCTTCCTATGGGGCCACGAAACACCGCACTGGGCGCAGGAACTCCATGCGAGTTCCGCCACTGGGACCTTTGGTGGAGCTCCCTATGGGGCCACGAAGCGCTGTACTGGACGTCAGGGAGGAGGGAGGAGGGGGACGAGGAGGAGAGGAGAGGAAGGAGACGCGGGGCGCTGTCTCTTCAATACGAGGACCCAACACCACAGGATGGTCGGGAAGTAATGAGGGGAGTCCTTGCAGCCGCAGGGACGGCCCAAGAGACCCGCAAGAGTTTGAGGGCCTGGAGCTTCAAAGTGTGCCGGAGCTTAAGATCATGGAAGCTTGGAGCTTTGTGCCTGCTGCACAGTGGCGGATAAATATATTGTTTGCCGCTTACCCAGGGCACTCCTGAAGGACTGCGTGGGTGCCCCTTGGCGGCTTCCCGAGGCCTCTTGGGGCCACATGCGATCATCTTGGATCTTTTGAATAGCTTTTAAGTTCTGTTGCGTGTTAAAGGATCTTGAGGCATCTTGCAGCCTCCTAGAAGCGTCATGGGCCGTCTGGGGGACGTCATTGGGCCATGGAGAGCGCCAAGGAACAAACGTAAGGGAGGCGATGGTACTCGACGCGTGCATGCTAGGAGTGGAGCGATCGTGCCTGGAAGCTCGGAGATCCAGGCGTTGATTTTGTTCTCACCTGGCGTTTTCGCACCTTTTCGGTCCTCGGGGCCAGCACAGATCGGTCCGACTCGGGAAGTGCAGCAGAAATATTGAGTCTAGCGCTCCGGTCGCGATGTTCTGCAATGTTTTTTTTTTTGTAACGTCGGGTTGTTGGGAAAGCACCGAAGTTCCACCAGACAGCTGAAATGTATTCCAACATGCCGCAGAGGGCTGGGAGGCAACAAACTTGGGAGAGGAGCTTGCCGGGACAACCCTAGGCCACCAGCTGACCAGAAGGCTGGCAGCATGGGGCGACACAGCAGGAGTGACGTGCTGGGTTTCAGCCGCCGGGACCCAGCGCGGCCGCCGAGATCGCATC